ATGTGTAGAATATTATACACAAATGTTGGTTGCTCGAACAATAAGGTGCCTTGGAATTTACTTCGACGCAAGCGTTAGTTACACAAAAGCCATTAAAAGAAAACAACTTTGTTTGCAAATTGTTTGCATGTCCGGCAGTTAGATTCATTAATTGTTTTCTCAAGAAGTAGGTTGTACCTCGAGTAATGCTGTTGATTCAAAGAAAATGCTTACTAATTCGGAGAAATTTAATATTATTTTTGAATATCGTTAGCTATATCATGTAGATCTAATGGGATACGAGTATTTTTGGCATTTTCAAAGCAATGTCTTTAGGTGTTCATGGCCCCTGTGTTTCATTTCGTGTGCTTCTTTCTTGCCTTGACTTGAATTCCTTTTGAAGAAAGATCAAAAGGTTACCACAAATTCTATTGAATCGGTGCTGAAGACAGACAGAGTGGGGACTCATAGAATAAAGCTGGATTATTTGCTGTTGTCATGAGTTTTTCATTAAGCCCGCAGCATGAGTTTCCATTTAAGTGGAACTAATGCCGATTTTACACTGCTCATTAGGGTCAAAAGCGTGTACTTAGCTGTGAAATTTAAGTACGCCATTTAATTTTGTTCATTCCCTTTCTCTGTCTCTCTCTTTCTCTGTTTTTGGGAAATGTACTGTTTTTTTTTTTTTTGGTTTTTTGTTTAAATGACGTTGCGGTCTGGAGCGTAGATTAATGTGATTATTTATTAGAGAACGAGAACGAACAACATGCCGTCGCTTTGATTGACGATAGAAAATATTTTGTGCGTGCCAGGACTGTTTCAATTATTGCATTACTTTTTCCTTTTGTTGTTACTATTGTTGTTGCTGTGTTGTTGTTACTAAGCCCAACACACAGCTTGCAGCCTAATTTTATTTACTGGGAATAGGGCAAGAAGAAAGGGGGAAAAAAATGTAATATGGGCACTTGGGCGTGACTTCGGCCACTTGTTTGTGCGGAGCGTGCGAGTAGGTTTTTAAATTGAAAAGCCATGGAACTGCCGACGACGGAGCACTTTTCAAAGACGAAGTGACAACTGGCATACTGATGATGCACACACCTACATATGTACATAGTTGTGTGTGTGTGTGTGTGCGGTATGTGCGTGTGTATAAAAATATAACAAGTGCCAAGCGAAATATGCACATACATACATACATACACACATACATAAATACGTACAGCAGCAAGTGGCTGGCTTTTTGGAGTACAGTGGTGGAGGCAGCTGGGAAGGCGTTGGGAAGCTTTTGTGTTTTTGGACAAAACTGGTGACTGGTGACTGGCGACTGGCGGCTGGTGAGTGCTGCTTGCCGCCTCAGCTTCTGCCTTTGTGGCAGGCAGCAGTCAGGCAGTCAGGCAGCCAGCTGCTGCGGCAACTAATTGTTGACGCTGGCGATGATGACGTTGATGTTGAGGACGTTGCCGCAGTTGGCAAACAAATATTGAAGAGTTTTTCGCAGGCGCACCAAATATATAACTATATACTACAAATATCTCTCTCTCTCTGTCTCTTTCTCCCTCTCTCTCTCTCTCTCTCTCTCTCTTTTTGTATTTAGTGTATTAAGTTAGTTTGTGTGTGTCTGTGTGTGTGTGACATGCCTGTTGACAGGATGATGCACAAACAAATAGACTTGCCGACTTGCTGGGTTGTTTGGTGTTGCATGCTTGCTTGGCTGCTGGCTGCTGCATGTGACTTTTGTTCAACTGCTAAAAGTGCAACAAACTTTGACAAAATAAAATGAAAATGTAGCCCAAAGGCAATGATGCTTCTGTTGCAGAGATGCGCACGCACCGTGCTCCTCTCGACCCAACACGGCACGCCCACGAAAAGGAAATCACAGGCATGCAATCCGATGATATTTCATTAATTTAGTGGATTTATTATTTATTTCAAATTGTAAATTATTTATAATTGAATTCATTTTATTTATTATTTATTTCATTAAGTTCTTCAATATTTGGTTTCTTTCTTTTTCATTTTATTTACTAGTTAATTTTATTATTTATGTAGCCTTAATTTCATTTAATTCTTATTTATTTATTTTTATTATTCTTGTTTCAATTCTTTAACTTATATTATACATTATTATATTTTATTGATTACTTGCATATATTTATTTAAACTTTTTTTATCAAGGCTATTAGTTTCTTAATATAGTAAATTATTAACATTCTATTTGGATGCACAAGTAATTTTTATTTTTTGTCGCATAACCTTTTTTGACTTCAGACATGTTTTTGTATTGGTTTGTTTGATATTAGCTGGACTTGAGGTTTACTTTTGACTTTCAAAAGTATCGCATGGAAACCCAACACTGTCGATTATGCTCTTTGGGTTTATTTTAATGAAATCGATTTTGAGAGTTTAAAAGAATTGTTTAAATTATGTGTATAGAAAAATGTCAGTTGCTTGGTTAAGACATTCATATTGGAATAATCGTTATATAGTTACATATTTGGAGTTCATTTTCATTACAACCAACTCCTCTTATTTCAAATCGTATATGACGACTAGGAGGGGTTGGGGGCGAGAGGGCGAAGTAAAGCACCAACTGGTGCAATAATAGATTATGAGTATACTTAAATGCAAATAAGTTTGGAATTTTTTTATTGAATTCCTTAATTCCCTAATTTACGGCTTAGATGAATAACCAAAGTTATTTTTAGAAAATACCACAAATCAAGCTATATTATCAAAGCACAAATTAAAACTGTTAACTGTGCTTAAGTGTATGCGTTTTTTTTTTGTTTCTCTTGGCTATTAAAAACCAACACAACGGACGAAATTACAGCGTGAAAGACAAGAACTCGTGTCACGAAATAAAACACGGCACACGCCCACCTCTATTGTGCAGTACAAGCAAAGTAGAGCAGGGCAGAGGAGAGCAAAGGGTAGAACAGCATTGCCAGAGCATAACAGAAGGCAAAGAACAGTTAGAGCTGTTTGAGGTCGTGCCCAGCTGTAGGTGGGTGGGTGGGTTGGTTGGTTGGAAACACAAATTGGGGGGAGGTGCACCAAATGAAGCACCAGCAAGTGCCATTGCTAGCAACTTCAAATCGGCGAACACACACGAATAAGGCGCGTTGCATTCACACATACATACACACAGGCACACACACACACACACACACACACACACACACACACTGACGCACTGCATGCACATGATGCAGGCAAAAAGAGCGCGCGCGAGAGTCAGAATGCATTGAAATTGAAGCACTCCTCTCATTATGCTGCTACTGCTACCGCTTCTTCTGCTATACTCTAGCTGGCGGCAGCGGTTTTTGCTGCAATGGACAGAAGAAGAAAAACAAGTAGAATGTTAGAATCGCACTAACACGACTCTTCTATACCCTGTAGCCGCCCCCACCTCTTCCGACACAGGCAAACAACTAAAAATAACTTCATTTTACCAATTGATACTACGGCAGCTATATGATATAGTACTTCACCTATGTCGATGAAACTTTTGATAGAGGCGAGGCCTAACAGGCATATTTAGATATCTTTGCGAACAATAAGAAAGGTATTCTTCTAAGTGTAACTATTTTACCAACCATTTCTATGGCAGACTTATCAGCCTGTGAACTTATCGGTTTATATGTATTTTAAAATAAACTTGATTTAGATATGGATAATACCAGTTCACATGCTACGTTTAATGCCTGTTGCTGTTCTGATTTAAAAGTTATCGGCGTTCATACGGACGAACAGGCCTTGAATCCTAGTAAAAATACGTACCCCTGTACTCAGGTTAGAATATAAAAAAAATAAATTAAATTAATTGTTTTTTAAAAACTTTTGTGGATTGATTTAATTAATAAAACATCTTTCAATGCTAACAATTACAGTGGATATAAAAAATATCTTAAGCGGGGTAGTGGGGGCTTTTCTCGGACTTCGAAGTACCTGCTTACCAAGTTTGGCAAATCGAGGTCGTTCTGACCTCCTCTTGTCAAGCTGATCAGAAATACGAGTATATTAGGGAATCTGCTAAATTGAACGATTTTATAATAACCTTTTACATATCCTTCGGGTACAGGGTATATAGTACAACAAAGAATCTCACGCAGGGCATGCAGACGACAACTTGGTTAGAGTTGCTGTTGCTTGTTGCTGAGTGGGGGCGTTGATGGCGTTGCTGCTTGACTGTAGGAGCGAATGTTCTCCCTCAATAACACAACATTAGCAACAGAAACAGCAAAAACAACAACAACAACGCAGACGACCCACTTGACAAGGCATTTCTTTCAATTTCTATTGCTGCTGCTGCTGTTGCGGTGTAGTGGTTGTTGCTATTATTGTTTTTGTTGTTCTTGCGAATTTAGACGAAATTTTATATGTTAATATTGTCATCGCTGCGTTGCTCGCTGCTGCCTAACAAATCAAAATCGAACAACAGGCACACAATAGTGGTGTTCTCGCGACTGATTTTGATGTGCAATGAGTTTTTGTTTTAGAACAGCTGTTTGTAGTGTGACCAAACAAGCTTTGTGCAATACGGCCACATTATTTGTAATTAAGAAAAGAAGCCCAAGCTCTAAAACTATTTAATTGCTTATTTGATAAGATTGAATCTTTGATAATTTGTTCTCATTTAACAACCAAAGAAAACTTTTTGTAATAAATATACTTTTGGGTGACATTTTTGGGAATTTAATTTTTAAACTAGTTGTTCCAGTAACTGGAATTGCAATATTATATATATTCTATCTATTACATATAATAACTTAGAAGTCACAAATGCAAATCAGTTGCAGGAATACCACTAATATTACACAAACACGCATACACACACACACACTCATACACATACAGACGTGTGAGACGCTGGTACGGGTAAACAAAATTCCAATAGATAAGAAACATATTTTGATTTTGAACAACAACAACAGAAATGTTGTACACTATTGTTATTGTTCATACATAGATGAACAAATATAATATACATGTATAAATAATTGATATAAATTAATACTTACTCTGGCGCGTTCGTGTGGCTCGGCGTGTGCCTGTGGGTTATGATTAATGAATCATCTCTTGTGACCTGTCACGTCTAGAAGAGCGAGGAGCGGGCGCTGGAGTTTAAGTGGAACACTTTGATGTGAACAGAATACAACAACAACAAAACAAAAAAAAAAACAAAAACGAAACAGTTCAGGACAGGCTAAGGCTGACGCTGACTCCACTTCGAGCACAATGTTGTTGTTGTTGATGCGCGTTTCTGGCGCAGATATTTAGGCCCTTGCACTTGTTGTCGTTCTAAGTATTATTGGCTCTTGCCGTTCGCCACTGACTGGGCCAACAAATTATTGTCTGATAGCCCTGAGCACGCGTTTAATGGTGCAAGTTAGCTGTTTGACTACGCCACTCACAAACACTAACCACATATATAAACAACAAATGCAACATGCACACGTATGTGTTATATTTGCAGAATGCGAAAAAAAATCACAACCACATCCGACGCCGACGACCGCAAAAAATTTACTACTGAATAAATCACTAGCGATGTGTGCAGACGTAGCCAACAGGCAATATTGGCGACTGCATGGCTATCGATAACAGCATGCTAAGTAGTCGATTAGTTGTTTCATATGTGAAATGAATGTGTAACAGTTTGCGCATGTGGGCAACAGTGACGTCATCGCATTTGAAAATGTTGCTGTGTGATCCATCCATGTAGACAGAACTGTGTATTTTCCATTTCATTCAATTAAGTTAGTGTTCAGTAAGCTGAACTTAATGAATCTGAAGTGAATTTAGAATGAAGTGAGCATTTCGGCTATTTGGCGCTCACAAGTTTAAAGTCAGCTGATAGCAGAAATATGGGCTGGCATGACGTCAGCAATATGTCGTAGCTGCGCGTCCATTGCCAAGGCCACTAGAGAGCGCTTTAGGAACACAGCTGATTCGTTATTGGCAAGTACCGGAAGTAACCGGTAGGTGGCGTCTTCAGTAAATCGTTATCTAGTTTAAATATTTGTACAATTTTATTGTTGTGTTAACTGTTTGCTGTTGCAAAGAATAACTAACGCTTTCCGCGTATTGATTAGCATGCAATCGTCTTAAGCCCATTTCCGCGATATCTCTGTTGTCTTATCGGGTGCGGCAATTGGGTGTAAAACAGTCAATTTATTGTCGGCTTGATATCATTCACAGTAACAGTAAAGCTTCGAATTAGTGAAAAATTGTTCAACAGATGTTCAGGTTAGTTGTGAGGAAACTTAGCAATGCATACGACTTTATAAATTCCCCTATCAAATTATAAAATAGTTGAAAATAGAGAGAAAATATTATTAGATTAGATTTAGTTTTACTTGGGAACAGGCTTATCAGATAAGATTACTTCGAAACTATATGAAAAGCAGCATGCCTTCAAGAACTTGATAGTGGCTACAAATCTACTATGTTGTAGAAGTTATAAATAAAATTCCAAGAAATTTTGAATAGTTGATAACGTTTCATTCGCAAAATTGTAGTTTTTGGTTTCAATTTGACCAAAAACGGGAGAAAAAAATGAATTATTGCTATATTCTTAAAAAATAAAGTCATTCGATAAATATAATGATCACAGTTACGATTTTTATTATTATTTCTTTGAACGTGTCAACTATTCGGAGGCGTTATTAAATATTTTTCATGGAACATGGTTCAATTTGTAAACAAACTTTTATGGTATAATTAAGAGTGGCACCCTTTATGGGTCCACCAAACCCCATTAGTCTGCATATTTGCAGACAAAACCCATTATTCTTTTAGGTGCCCATTTGTATATCAATATTATTTTCTCCAGTTCATATAGGTTTGAAGTTATGACGCTAAAAATGTCCTTAACAGTGTAATACTTGTATGCCATCACGTAGCTAGATGTGCTTATAACTTAAAACACATGCCTACTTACAAGTTAGAGGACCTTACTCTACAAAATTTCAGAGATTCTAGCATTGGGGATTCTTTAATTGGGGAAGATCATAAATACACCCGTGGGTAGTAAATTATGGTCTATGTATATATTATAAGTTAATACAACATTTGATCTACAAATAATAAAAATCCCTTAAAATCAACACTAAATCGATATCGAGAATCCGACATTAAATTCAATAGTATCAGCAAATGTATCTTAATAATGTATATTTTTTTTGTATATATTAACTAACTTCCGGCTCTTTCATGTGACAAATTAAAAACCGTTTAATCGTGACTAGTCAAAAAAAAAAAAAAAAACATTTATTAGACCATTTGTAGTGCCAGAAACTACATATATAAATGAAATAAATATCTGAAATCTAAGTGTAAACAATTTCATGACTAGACTATAAAAGTCTTTAGGTTCAATAAGACTACAGAGGGTGGGGCGATACGTGTGGATCCATTTGAAAAGCTTTTAATATAAATATAACTTTTGCGTAAGGGTTAAGCTTTTATTGCTTTAGAAAAATTGTTCATTTATTTCAAGGCATTTCAACATTAAAAAAATATATATAGTTGAGACAAAGCTCCTTCAACTCCCTGTAGATCATCTCTGTTCCATAGACTAGATGCTAATACATACATTTTATACGTTTCTGGAAACAATTAGTTGATGGAACACAAACAATCTGTGGATATCTTTTGGAACCAATTAGTTTAAGGAACATAGGTGGTTCTGATACATACACCACTCTGTGGATCATCTCTACAGATCTCTTCGCTAAATAAAAACAAATCTTCAACCACCCGTAGATCATCTTTAAAGGCTTTTGGCTTATAGGCATAAATTGCATAAAAAATGGTTAATTTATTAAAAAAATTTTTTTTCAAAATTATAAAAAAAATATAAGTATAGTGGAGGGGTGGAGGAGGGTGTTCCTTCAACAATCAATCGGTAAATAGAGTCTATAGGTGCACCAGAACTTCGTATTCCTCCAGCTTGACCTCCTCGCCGCCGAAGGGAATGTAAATACAGCCGTGAGATGGATGAATTTTTCCGACACTGAGACTGTCGCAGTAGTTGGCCCGACCCACGTAGAGGCGCTCGCCATCGACATTGCTGCCGGTGGAGACGGCATTGGGCACCACATTGCCATTGGAGGCGGGCACCCATTTATAGCCGGCACCGACAAGCACCTCGACATCGGTGATCTCGTGCTCGAGCGATCCGTAGGCCACATAGGCTGTCTGCTTGGCCGGCACCACCTTCACGGGCAGAAAGTCGCCATTGCGTTCGATGCGGCCCACATAGATGGTATCACCATCGGAATCGTGGCCGGCCACCAGAGCACCCTCGGGCATAGAAGATGCGTTCGCCTGCAGCCAGGACTCTGGCTGTGACAGCACCTCGTACTGAAAGATCTTAACCTCCTCGGAGCCGAATGGGATGTAGAGGCAGCCATGCGATGGGTGCACCTTTCCGACGGTCAGACTGCCCGCATAATAGCCACGGCCCGCATACAGATACTCCCCATCCACATTTCGACCCACCTTTACAGCTCCCAGCGGCACGCTGCCATTCGAGCCGGGCAGCCACTGATAATGGAAGCCGGTGAGCGCCTCATAGCTGTCCAGTTCCACTTCCTCGCAGGCATAGGCCACATACGCCTTGCCCTTTTTCGGAATTATTTTGGCTGGCAGCAAATCATTGTTGTAGCTCACACGGCCCACGTAGATGGTATCGCCATCGGAATCATGGCCAGCTACGATGGCATTCGCCGGCACCTCCCCATTGCTGAACTGCTCCCAAAGGTGATCTGCCGGGCATTGTTGAACGACAGTTCTGAGTGGCAAGTCTACTTAGCTGGCACTGTCCCCACTTGGGACTTCCCTTACCTGTCATTTCGTCTACTTCGATGGTGACTGTACCGCTGTGGTGTCGGTTTGCCGAACGACTGAGTGAACGGCACCTGCCCTAGCAATACCTCTAATGGCCCATTCTTGTTGACTCCCAGATAGCGTTTATCGGCCCTGATAAGTTTGCAGTCAGTCTTTAGTCGGCAGTAGCAACCAGAATATTGGCCGTGGACGTGGACGTGGACGTGAATGACTGACAAACATTTATTGCCCCAATATTTGGGTCAAGCCACGCAATGTTCTGAACATACGAGTACAGACAGTTTGTATTGTAAGCTATACTTATACTATATACTCGTATTACTAGTTGTATGCAGTTGTAAATCCCCTTTTAATCTTATCATGCGCAGAGTCTTTTTGTAAAACTTGTGCTAAAAAAGTGACAAATCAATTGGAACTAAAGATTGCAAACACACATACACATATGGACAAAATAATACAAGTAAGTATACGTTCACTGTCATGCATATACATATGTACAAGGGCGTACGCAAGGGGGGGCAGAGGGGTGCCATTGTCCGCCCCTACTAAAAAATTTGCCATATAAAGTCGACCACACGTTCATTATTATGACGCTCTATTTCGCCTAAAAATGGAACTGAGTTGGATTTGATGAAGTTTTTTCATAAATTATTTTTTAAATCGTGCTTTATTAAATCAAAATTTTAATTTTTCGGCTCCCCCCCTTTTGTTAAAGCTGCGTACGCCCTTGCATATGCATGTCGTATTTAGATAATGAAAGTTATTAGGTCGCCTTAAAAATATAAACCTAGTGGGTAACAGAATTATCATTTGAAAAGGTTTTTGATTTTATTGCAAAAAAGTAATATATATACTATACTATATATTAAGCAATAAAGAGTGTTCTTTACGAGTAGACGTTTTGTTTATTAAATGAGTGAAGCATTTCAATCCATTTAATAGCTTAGCATCCACAAAAACATTTGTCATCAATTCACGTTTAGATCATAATCGAAGATTTGAAGTCTTCTGCAATACAATATACTACTATAAGTATACGAAAAATATTTTATACAAATAGGACCTGGAAATCGAGCGGGTCTTTCGATAGGGACAACTCTTCTTAATTTAAGTTGGCACTCCACTTTTCTAAATGGCATATACACCTAATTCTGTTTTTACACGGTAGATTGGTTCCAGAAAAAGTCGCGTAAAAAAAACCGTGTAAAAATAGACATTGAATAAAGTCGTGCAACATTCATGATTTTCAATTTTCAAACCGCGTTCAATTAAAACCGTTTAAAAATATAATTATTGTATTGTATATCGTGTATTTTCAAAATGTTGATTCTCAACTTTCATGGCTCGTTCGTGTTTCAAAGTTAAAGCCGCTTAATCGTTATTTTAGTAACATAAATTAAGGAAATAAATATAAGTATAATAGTGTATACAAATAAGATCGAGCGGGTTTTTCTATTTATTTCATTGCCTACAAATGTTCGTTTGTGTGATTATTTACAGTGTGAGTATTTCGATGTTCAAAATTATTGAATACATATGTAAATGTACAATGGATTTATTGTGGAGCCAAAATGCGTTTCTAAAAACAGCTTTGAATTTCGTTCTAAATATTCCAAGTGCGAGTAATAGAAAAATCTCTTTGCTTAAACTCCCTTTTTTTAAATAAAAGCTTAAAATCAATAACAAACTAATAAAGGGTGCCCCAAATTGTCGGATGAAACCAAGGTTCGATCCTTTCGCTCATAGTTTTGCCACAGATTGGTTGATCGCAGAAGAAAAGATGTTATTAAAGGCGTCTTCTATGTCTAAAAAACGCCACTTCACTTGTGATCTCCCTAGTTTTGAGATAATGGGGTAAAGGGGAGTATCGAAGGACCTGCTTTACAGTAACAGTGCCGCGTCGAGTCTCTCTCTCGAGTCTTTTGAAGAAATGGCAATAGGTTGAAATCTTTAGCCTGCCGGAATGTAGTTGATAGTTGTAGTTTTTTTTTAGCATTACTTTATAGTGCACAGCCCTAATGTTGTTAGGTCCAGTAGTATCGGAGGAGTTTATCTCTGCTATAGTCGGTCTATAGTCTGTTTCCACAAAAATTGCCCTTTCAGCTAAGCTGTTGGCTGCCATTTCCCAACTTCTTCAAGTGTTTCATTTTGCAACAAAATTTCAATTTGTTTATTATTATTTGTAATTTTTTTTGCTGCACAAAATATCAACACAAGTGACTCCTTAAGAGCTCAGCAGGCAGCTTAGAACTCCAGTTTGGTCAGCGGTTCTGGCTGGGGGAGGGTGGGGATGGGATGATGAGTGTCCGAGTGTCTGTTGCTTAAAGTGAAAACCGCTAAAAGCATTTTAAGGTCCTGCGCCATGGCCCGACCATGGCTGTTAACAAAAACAAAACAAAAAAAAAAAAATTAGCGCACCAAAAAGGGCAACAAAAACAATAACAAAAGGGGTGCGCGGGTGCGGGAAAAACAGTCAAAAGTGTGCGAGTAAAAAAAAACAGCGCGCCAAAATGAATTATTTGCTGTTGATTTTATTTTGCCCACAATTCGCACACACACACACGCGCGCACACACACACACGCACGCACTAACAAAAGTGGGTTAAAGTTGGTTACGTGCGCGGATAGCAACATCAGGCTGCTAGAATTGCATTGTGGACAACGGCGCTGGCGAGGAAGACCCAGGAGTTGGGCTGATGGAGCGGAGACAAAGCGGAAGTTGCTGGGAGAAGCAGGCAGCTGTAACTCACACTGGATACCCTGCACAGATGGAATTGCAAAGTTTTCATATCAAACATTTAAGAAACTGTTTTTTTTTTTTTTTGGGTAATTAAAGCGAATGCAAAGCAGCTTTCTTGTTGATTTGGCAACTGATTAGTGTCTTTAATATAATATTAGGAGCAATAGATATAGCTTTCCAATAATTAATTAAATAATAACCGTTACTAGTAAGCACTAGGAGTTGGAAGAGACTGAACTAATTATCTTCCCTTATCATTATGAATTACAAGAAGAAAGTAAATATAAGTAGAGGAAACATATCTTTATAGTGGATTTGGAAACTGATTAGTGTCTTTAATATAATATAAGGAGCAAAAGATATAGCTTGCCAACGAATAAATATCTAGTATAGGTTGTGGAATACTTTTTACCACTAGGAGTTTGCAGAGAATAAACTAATTATCTTCCTTTATCATCAGGAATTACAGATGTTGGAAGAAACTAAATACAGAGTAACCATCTCTTTCTAGTGGATATGGAAACTGATAAAGCTTTCCCACCAAAGAATATTAAAATTTGTACAATACTTCCACCTGCTTTAACACCTTTACTTGTAAGTACTGGGAGTTGGAAGACAAAGAAATGTTTATCCTTCTTTATCATCAAAAATTACACATGTTGGTGCATCAGTTGCTTCCGGCATTTTTTCTCTTCATTTAGATGTGATTATCATATCGTAATACAGAAAAAAAAACGTTGGTATTAACCTTGATTCTTGCACCGATCTTTCCTGTGGCTGATTTTAGTTTAACATAAAACACTATTTAAAACTTGTTTTAAATACCAGATTTGTCCAAGATATCTCTATAAACAGAATGATAATATTACAAAGAATGATTACTGGATCGATCGCTTCTATGGCAGCTATGTAAAATAATGAAACTATAAACGGTTTGCAATAAACTTATTCTGCATATGGATAAGACTATTCCACACGCCATGTTTGGTGCCTCTAGCTGTTATGGTTGAAAAGTTCTCGATGTTCATACAGTCGAACAGACGAGCACACCTTATATGTACCTATAATATGGCAACTGACACGACTTCTTATGACTTTAGACTTAGATACAAATTTTTGAAATACCAATTTAGAGCAAACTGGTCGGCAACATTGAAATCCTGCAGCGAATCCTGGTTAGAGGGCAATAAAACCAGACAAAATTGGGAACCAAAACAAGGCACGTTAACTTCAGCTGCGCTGATCCTTTATTTGTGCAACTCTTTGGCCGCGCTTTCTTGCATCCGAATTACTTTTTTTTTTTTTTTTGGTTTTTTGTTTGGCAAGTGTGTGGGTGTGTGTGTGATTTTTTTTAGTTCACGCATCCGCATCCCACTTATTTAGCGGTGGACGCTTGTTGTCCAAAGTCCATTGATTTTTTGCGAGCTCGAGCTCGAGTTCGCTTTGCCGCTGCTGTTCAGTTTTTGTTTGCGATTTCGACAATTTACAACTATTTGCTGCTCCCGCCTGTGGTTGTTGTTGCTATTGCTGTTGTTGTTGTTGTTGTTGGGGTATGTGACCAATTTCTGTAACGCACAGCATGCACAGGAAGAGCTGAAGATGGTGGTGAAGGGGGAGGGGGAGGAGGGAGGCAATAGTAATGGAGATTGCTTGGTGCTGTTACCTTAGCCTTTTTCCAAGCAGTTCTGTGCGGCTTTCAGCCACGTTGTCTTGGAGGGAAAGTAACAAAAAAAGGATACCTTATCTCTCCATTTCATTCAAGTGATATATTTATTTATTTGTGCTTTGAAAACAATGCTCATTAAAAGCCCTTAGCCAGCAAAATATAATAATGGATAGTTCTGTTGGGATTTTATATTTTAATATTAAACTTGAAATTGAAATTTACTTATAAGTGACCCATTTATCCAAAACTGACTTACATTTAATACAAGTAACGTATGCCTCTTGAGACTTTTAGTATCCAATTTATAGTTGCTAACAGTTGTTAAGTAAATTAAAGTATTACTCGAAATTAAAGCTATTAGATACTGGTTCCAAAGCTGATAAGAGGGGGGATTCCCTCTTACTATATTTAGGTCGTCTGTTTTATTTTGCAAAATCTGCACTTTTTTTGTTGTTTGTTTGATTTGGTTTCGTTTTTAAGAGTTTAGGCTTAAGCTTAATTTGAAATGATATATTATTATAATAATTTACAAATCAATATAATTTTTAAAATAAAATCATGCCGGAATATATGTACATTTAATGTGTAATAAAAAATGAACAAAATCAAGAGAAAAAAACCAACTTCTATCTTATCGAGAGTTATGTATGTTTATATATTTAAAGTGGGAAATATTGGAGAAAGGCAAAACCAACTAACGACTGCTATATTAGTATTATTTAAAATATATTTATT